GATACTAGAGACAAATAAAGGATCCTAAAAAAAAATATCAGGGATCAGAATGGCTTAAGACTTCCAAGTTTCAACAGGAAAACAAGAAGTCAATGGAGCTATGTCTTCAAAATTCTGAAGGTAATTTCCAACCCTATCAAGAGCAGAATAAAGTCATTTTCAGTCATGCAAGGTCTATTTTTTTTTTTTTAATTTTATTTATTTTATTTTTCCCCCCAAAGCCCCAGTGGATAGTTGTATGTCGTAGCTGCACATCCTTCTAGTTGCTGTATGCGGGACTCGGCCTCAGGATGAACGGAGAAGTGGTGCCTCGATGCGCACCCGGGATCCGAACCCGGGCCACCAGCATCGCAGCGCGCGCACTTAACCACCAAGCCACAGGGCCGGCCCATGCAAGGTCTAAAAATGTCACCTCCAAGACAATACTTTCTCAGGAAACTACTGAAGATTTCACCAAAATAACAGAAGAAAATTAAAAAGCAGGAAGATGTGAAATCCAGGAACTCTTAGTTGCAACTGCTAAAAACTTGAAAGCAGCTGTCTCTGGGGAGTGGAAAGTAAGAAGAATTTGGAAATTTCCTCAACAATTATGTGGTATGTGATTTTTTTTAAGCCATTAATATGTATTACTTTCATAAGAACAAAAATACCATGAAATAAAAATATCATTAAAAAAAAGGATGAAGTAACTAGATATGAACAGTTTTTAGAATACATTAAACACAAAAAGTTAGTTGCTCAACAATATAAATAGTATCACATTTATGTCTAACAAATGTCTACCACGCACACAGGTACTCACACATCTAACACTGAATTCATAGAGGAGGATCTGGAAGGACACTCCTCACACTCTGGAGGCAGGATGGGTATTAGGGAAGGAGAGATGGTAGTAATGGAGGCCTTTCACTTTTTTCAATATGCACTTCTGAGTTGTTTAATTTTTTTTTACAACAAAGATACTGGTAAAGAATTTTTAATGACACAGGTAAATGTTCATAATACATTGTCATAATAAAAAGCAGATATAAAGGTATATAGTATTTGGTATCATCCCTATTGTGTTATTAACAATGTAGCTTCTAAACTTTTCTTCTTTTAATCAAAAGGACTCTTATCTCAAACAAAATATTACCTAATTTCCAATTTAAGCAGATAGAAATGAATCTGCTCTGAGTAAAGCAGGAACACAGACCCCGTGCTCTGGTCAGTCAGCCACCTATCTCTCTCACGCCTTCCAGGGTCCTGAAGCAACCTCAGGGCCCCAGTAGTAGTTTGAAAACTACTAATATCATAAAAAGGAAGGAAAGAAAAACTCAGAACGTGTGACTTTCTCTGAGATTATAAGTTATTTTCCTTCTGCTTTTGTATAATACATATGAATGCATATCTTTTCTATGATTTGGAACAGTTCAAATAATAATAATATCTGTTCCTTAACACGCCTATATAACCACATACACCTGATACACTTGTAGCAGCAAGTGGCAGAGATGGCCAAAAGAGCTTTATTAATCTTTTCAAGTTATGGTTCTATATTCATATTTCCTATTTCAAGAGGTTGACTTTGATCATCTATATTTTTCTAGAAAATTTTCTATCATAATTTTCAAATTTATTGGATTAAGTTTAAGATTTTATTATTCTTTTCAGAAATTCAGTTTTTAAAAAGTCTTATTTTTCAATTTTACTTTAACAATATTTTCTAACTAATTAAGCTATAATTTTTCTAGTTTTGGCTTTTTTTATTGCTATTCTCTTTCTAGTTTCTTGAATTGAAAGTCAAATTCATTATTTTCTAAATGTCTTCTGTATAAAAAAAAAAAAAAAAAAGCATTCAAAGCTATGAATTCTCCCCTGAGTGTAGTTTTGGCCACATCCTTTAGGTCTTTGTTGTTTAGTGTTATCATTGTCATTAATATCTAAATAAAATCCAATTTCAATGTTTTATGCTCTTTGATCCAAATACTATTTCAAGTAGATGAATTTTTTGAATCTTTATCATTAATTTCTAGTTTTATTTCATTGTAATAAAAGATGGTGGCCTGTAAGAGTCTGAGTTTTTCTATTTTGAATTTTTGAGTGTGATCTAGTTCATAATCAATTTTTATAAATGTTCCATGGCATTTGAAAATAACCCTTCAATAGTCTTTTGCTATTGCTCCATGGGATACCCCTGCTTCTGCTCTTTCCACAGGATTTTTCCAGTTCTTTTTGGCTTCCTCCATTGTCTACACTTTATTGACTGCTAAGTATCAATAATCATCTCCTTTAAGTTGCAGAAATTCCTCAAATCTTCGAGTTCATGGTGGCTCCCTCTGCCATTATGTGGACACTTTTCTCCTTAATTTATATAGTTATAGTCAATGGAATTTTTTGAGAGATGAAAGGTAAAATTATGGGTTCAAAGAGTAGCACGGTATATACAGTATATATAGAGCTCAGCTTCTAGCATCAGAAAGATCAATGTTTGAATTCTAATTCTACCACTTATTTGCTGCAGGACTTTGAATATGTTATTTAAATTCTCAGGGCCTCTGTTTCCTTATATAAAATAATAATTACAGTAGTTACCACCTAAGCTTGTTAAGAGAAGTAAATGAGAAAATGCAGGTAAGGCACTGAATACATCATTTGACAAGCAGTAGTACTCAGTAAACATTAGCTATTATTGTTGAAATGGGAACTATGGTTTGAACTTCTATTACTTAATGTCAGACAAAAAGGAAGCAACAATTTCCACCAGAACTTGACCATATTAATAAACCTTATGGATATACTTGACAATCCCAACTTATTAAGATAGTTATCTAATCATAACATTTAGCCTAACTTCATTAAGTAAACTTGATTACTTGATATTTATAATTTATCTGCTCTATAGACAACACTTTAAAGAATTTCCTTTCTGTGAATCTATAGCAGTTATGAAGAAATATACCACTTATTCCAGTACTTTAAAAAACTAATCAAGTATATCCCAAAAGCACTGAAAGCAATTTAAACAGATGTTTGTACACCAATGTTCATAGCAGCATTATTCACAACAGCCAAAAGGTAGAAACAATTCGCGTCCACTGATGGATAAGCAAAATGTAGTACGTTATATACATACAATAGAATATTATTCAGCATTAAAAAGGAAGGAAATTCTGACACATGCCACAACATGGATGAACCACAAAGGCATTATGTTAAGTAAAATAAGCCAGACACAAAAGGACAAATATTGTATGATTCTACTTATGTGAGGTGCCTAGACTAGTCAAATTTGTCGAGACAGAAAGAATAGAGGTTTCCAGGGAAGAGAAGGAGGGGGGAAATGGGGAATTGTTGTTTAATGGGTACAGAGCTTCAGTCAGGAAAGACAAAAAAATTGTGGAAATGGATGTTGGTGATGGTTGCACAACAATGTGAACGGATTTACACCAATGAAATGTACACTTAAATATGGTTAAAACGGTAAATTTTATGTTGCATATATTTTGCTACAATTAAAAAAAAGTAATCAAGTGCCTGAGTGGTGGCGATTCTATATTTAATCCTATATACTACTATTTATAATTTGAGTAAAACATTTTGAAAATGTGTCTTAAGGCTAGGGTAGATATGTCATTTAGCTTGTTCAGAGGGCAAATGTTAACCTCTGCTCCGTCAGACTCAAGTTCACTGCTCCTAAGTCTTTAAGAGGTGAGGGTCCTCACACTTATACCCACAAAAACTTTATGTTACTCTCTTAAAAGTGAACATAGAAATGGAGTACAAATGGTCCCCAACTTACAATGGTTCGACTTACAATTTTCCGACTTTACGATGGTGCGAAAGCTACACACATTTAGTAGAAACCATACTTTGAATTGTGAATTTTGATCTTTTCCCAAGCTAGCGATATGTGGTATGATCCTCTTTCATGATACTGGGCAGAGGCAGCGAGTTATAGCTCCCAATAAGCCATGTGACCACGAAGATGAACAATCGATACAATTACACTTACAACCATTCTGTACCCATCCAACCATTCTGTTTTTTAATTTTCAGTATAGTATTCAATAAATTACATGAGATATTCAACAAATTATTATAAAATAGGCTTTGTGGGGGCCAGCCCTGTGGCGTAGCAGTTAAGTGCACGCGCTCCGCTGCTGGCAGCCCGGGGTTCAGACCCCGGGCGCGCACCGATGCACCGCTTGTCAGGCCATGCTGTGGCGGTGTCCCATATAAAGTGGAGGAAGATAGGCACAGATGTTAGCCCAGGGCCAGTCTTCCTCAGCAAAAAGAGGAGGATTGGCATGGATGTTAGCTCAGGGCTGATCTTCCTCACAAAATAAAAAGAAAAAAATAGGCTTTGTGTTAGATGATTTTGCCCAACTGTAGGCTAAGGCAAGTGTTCTGAGCATGGTTCAGGTAGGCTAGGCTAAGCTATGATGTTCAGTAAGTTAGGTGGTATCAGGGGCATTTTCGACTTACAGTATTTTCAACTTACGATGGGTTTATCAGGATGTAACTCCATCATAAGTCGAGGAAGATCTGTAGAAGCATTATTTTACTTGAGTAAATCTTACCCTAATAAAGAAATCTTTATATGGAAAGTTCTTTATATACAAACATTTCATTTATAACAAAAACTAAAAACCACCTAAATACATGAGGGAATAGCTAAGTAAACTACATAGCAAATGAAATATTATGCAGCCAACAAAAATGATTCTTATGAATGAAACGGAAAAATGCTTATGTAATAGGTGATTTTAACTATGTAAAAAAATAATTCTAAAATGACTAGAATGAGGCATCAACAAGTTAATAGGTGATTACCTTCAAGAAGTATGAATAATGATCCCTCCTTATTGTTATACTTTCTATACTTTTCAAATATTCTCCATTTGTTTTTACTTTTATAATGTGTTATTTTCATAAAGGGAAAATATATCTTTTTCTTTTCATTTAAAATCAGTAAAAAACAAAGATAAAAATTTAATTTTTTTGCTCCAAGTACTCACATTCTCGGGTATGCTGGGAAGTTCTCTGGTATCAGGCACAGTAAAATAAGAATGCTGGAAAAGAAAAGCAAAACTACTTATTTCTGCAAAAATATGCAACAAGCACATTATTCAGAGATCAGGTAAAAGATCTAAAGATAATTCCTTACTCAGATGAGGAAACAGAGTTTCACCCATAGGAAATGTCTGTGGAATATTTTCTTTGGTTGATGTTGGGTTGAAGCCAGATGTATTAAAGCATCAGTTCAGTAGATGGACTTCTTTTCTATGAGAGATAAACTTCTTTGGGAGATATAAATGAACAGCTCAAAGTGGTTAAATGCTAAATTCCCATACGTACAATGTTTGCAGGTTTCTGAATACATGAAAGCTGCAGGCTTCATAATTCATAGTTCAACGAGGCAAGTGAACTCTAGGGACCAAATATCACTAGGTTTGCTCAGCAATGGTCTTTACCAACCAAACCTGCCATTTCATTTCAGCATCTGAGATTATATCCATCTACAAGCTGCAGGCAAAATCTGCCCCGAAGGCCCAAGTGATGCTAAGGACAACTCTAGCTGAAGGACTGCTGCATTGAGACCATTACAGATGGCTAACAGTGGAGAAATTCTCTCTGCTATGCATGCTCTGCAAATAAGCCTCCTGACTTCCAGTGCAACCTCCAGTGAAGGGAGCCAAGACTCAGTGGAGCTCAAAAACTGACCTGTTCAAAGAACTTTCAAGGAGACATCTTCATGTATGTGACAAGCAGGTGCCCCTGAGTTAAATGACAACAAGCTGAACTGATGACACCTCCTCTCTGCTACTAAAGACTCAGAGGACAATGGCAAGCCAGAATGCAAAGAGCCTGGTGCTGGCCAATTAAAGATGGGATTGTGCAAAGGCCAGGAAAGGTCACATGCAGAGAAAGTCAGCTTAGCCATTGCCTAAGTGCAAACCTGGACCCCCAAGTGACATTTCAGGAAGACCCCCACCCCCCAGTCTTGGATAATTACAAAATAAGTAGCTCTTGAGAAAAATGAGTTGTATAGGCTTCCTGAAATGAAAGGCCCAGGGAACAATTGCAATAATGACAATAACAACAATAATAGTATGAGCTATTTGTCTAATATTCAACAGATATTTATTGAACACCTGCTACACAAAAGGCTTAATGCCAGGTACTTGATCACTATTATCTCTAATTTCCACAACAGATTTTAAGATAAATATTATCTCCATATTACAAATGGGTAAATTAAGGCTTAGAGAGGTAAAGTAACTTGTTAAGGTCACACAGCTAGCAGATGACAGAACTAGGATTGAAACCAGGTTTGGCTAACTAGAGCTATGCTCTTTCCACTATAAATGTTATATCTGTGCTTTTTATGTGCAAATTATAGCTAAAGCCACTTAAATTAATAAACTAAAAAGTAAAAAGCAAAATTATAAAAAGATAACTTTAAAAAACCTTCTGCAATGCATTATTCCCAAATCTGTGTCTGTGCCAAGGTATTACCTACGAAGTATTACAATAGAGACTATGCAGCACAGAAACCAGTTAATAATAAATTCAATTGAACAATGAGGATTAAAATAGTAAAAGTAAAATATAAGGTTAAATTTGATGCCATGAGATACCAACTTCTACACCAAATGGCTAGAGGGGAGTCCCAGGAAATGTTCAGTAATGGATGTCCACACGGTGATGGAGTCACAGAGTAATGGTTGGCACAGTGAGGGAGAAAGAACAGAGACCAGAAAGTCAGCCACTTAATAGCTATGTGATTTTAGGCAACTTCACTTAATAGCTCAGAACCTCAGTTTTTGAATCTGTAAATGGGAATTGTAACATCTACTTCAAAACTGTTGTGAAGAATAAATGTTATACAGTCATGTGCTGCATGACAACGTTTCAGCCAACGACAGACCGCACATACGACGGTGGTCCCATAAGACTAGTACCACATAGCCTGGGTATGTAGTAGGCTGTACATCCAGGCTGTACATCATCTGTACACTCTATGATGTTCGCACAAGGATGAAATTGCCTCATGACACATTTCTCAGAACGTATCCCTGTTGTTAACTGACACATGACAGTATATGTGAAGTGCCTAGCATTCTATAAAAGAAATTTCAATAGAAAATTATTATTGCTCTGAACTGCTAGTTTACATTTCTATTTTTTCTCAATCATCTATATCAGGCACACAGAAATATTCCCTTGTGACTAAAGACAAAAGTCCAGGATTGCCATTTTATCAACATTTCAGGCTTTATAATCCAGATGAGACTAGCTCTTCAGATCTAGTTGCATCAGAAATTTGCATCAGAAATACAACATGGAGAGAGAAATTCCTTGTAAACAGGAAAGGAAAATATATCTGCCTTTACAGATGCAATGGATTGTAAATAGTAAGCCAATGTAATTCTAAAACCAAGTAGTCCCCAGGCTGTCCTTTGAGATTCTGTCTTGCTCCATCGCCCATGAAATGCTGAGACCAGAGGAGGTCAGAAACATTCCTAGAAACCACTGGCATGAAACAGCTGCACCCCTCAACAGGTCCTCCTGCCCCTGTGATTGCTTGCCCTCGAGGCCTGGCAGGCACTCAGGGGAAGGAGTGGCCCTTCCTCCCCAGCAGCTGGTGACCCAGCCAGGCTACTCCACAGCTACCTGTCGGATGTCATTACAGACTAAAGCAGAGAGATCAAGCTGCTCAGGAAAAGGGACAGAGACAAAGGCAATGTTGCTTAGCTATATGGCAATGACTGGGGCAGGTTTAAAGCTCATTTTTTCATCTTTTCTAGACAATCTTCCTTAAGCAAATTTCTGTAACAAGGGTCCTTTCTTTCCAGTGCTCTCTTAAAATGAGCAAAAACCTCACAAGTTCCTTCTTTTTTTTGGTGAGGAAGATTTGCCCTACGCTAACATCTGTTGCCAATCTCCCTCTTTTCTTTTTTTTTTTCTTTTGCTTGAGGAAGATTAGCCCTGAGCTAACATCCATGCCAATCTTCCTCTATTTTGTATGTGGGTCGCCACCACAGCATGGCTGGTGAGCGGTGTAGGTCCGCACCTGAGATCCGAACCAGCAAAAGTGGGCAGCCAAAGCGGAGCATGCAGAACTTGAACCACTCGGCCATGGGGCCGGCCCCTACAAGTTCCTTCTTTCTTCCCTTTGTTTCAACACTCATAGCCTAGTGGAAAGAACATCGTCTTTGAAGTCAGCCCTCGGTTTGAAAACCCCAATCTTCTCACTTACTAACCACATAACCTTGGATAGGCAAGTAACTTTTCCTCTCTAAACATCATCTATGAAATGAGAATGCTAATATCTATCTTGTAGAGTTGCTTTGAACATTAGAGACACATACTTGGCATAAATTAGGAACTTAATAAATAGTAGATCTATTATTAGTTATTGGTAGTAAAATTGCTTCTAATTTGATCACCACAAAAAACTTATAAGAAATATTCATTTTCTTTAAGAGGGTAAATACCAAGATAACCACTGAATATCAACACTGAACCTGGTTCTAGTGAAGCTGAAGACAAAACTCTTTAAACATTCAGACCCCACAAAATTGGGAAAATAGCCCCTAGATAATCAATAGCTGGCCAAATGGTGTCCATCGGAGAATTCTGATGAAGGTGGCAACAGGGGTTTGATCCAGGGAATTAGAAAATTCCAGTAATTGAAATATGGAAAAGATCCCCTACATCTCTTCTGATACCGTATCTGATAGATGAGGAAATTGAGGCCGGTGAGGTTAAAGGTTTTGATTATCATCACTCAGGTCACTGGAAAAACTACAACCAGGATTGAAATCTCACAATTTGCAATTCAGAGGATTTTCTACCCTAACACACTACAGAACACATAGTTTGTATTTAAAAGAGTTCAAAGAAACAATTATTACTGTAGGCCAGGAACCATGCTAGGCATTCTCCATCCCTGTCCTCTAGGGGTGTACAGCCCAGTAGGCGAGACAGGAAAACAGATTGTTCCAATGTGGTATAACTAAGATGTGTACAAGTGTACAAGGTGCTTGGGGCAAAGTAGAAAACCTTAGCTAAGCCTTGGTGCGTGTCAATGGGAAGATTTCTCTGGAAATAAAATCTGAATTGAGTTGTAAAGGATGAGTATGGGTTACCCTGGTAAATAGAGGGGAGGCAGTGTTGAAGGCTCAGGAGGCTGCAGGATGGGCTTCAGCAAAGGGGCTTGCACAGCAGTGCTGGGGGACAAACTATCAGATAGGGAGCCCGAGGACAGAGGCTGAGGAGGTAGGCAGAGGCTGGCCATCTCATTCCAAACCCAGCACCTGCCATCCAGGAGATGCTAGTGATGGGATGACAGCCAGGAAGAGAGGCGCCTGAGGACATTTGAGACCCATTCCTCATGGAATACCAAAGAAAGGAAGAAATTCAACTCCCTGGCCTGTCTTGAGCCCAGAGATTTGAGAGTATTCAGGGGTAGAGGTGGGGAAGGTGCAGACGACAAGAGATGATCCTATTAGACTAACCCCTTCTTACTGTTATCAATGAAATGGTTTCTCAGTGATTGCTAATGTTCTGCCCCAACTTACCACGCTGAGATGAACAGACACTCCTGGGTCAGGGATGGGAAGTTTATGCAGAGTTTCAAGAAGCTCATTCCACTGACTCTCCTGAAAGAAATAAAAGGCCTAAGTAACAAAAGCAAGGCTGAGCCCTTAGTCAGAGACCTGCAGGGAGGTCTGCGCACATTTGGGGAGGTGCTGGCCCCAGTACAGAAACAGTTTTGATATTCAAGTAGTGTTGGACAAAAGACACTGCTTATGGCTCAATATAAGAGCCAAATAGATCCTCCCACACCAAGTTTGATATTTTCTACTCAGTGAGACACCTACCATGACCGCCTTTTATGGATCATATACCATAAGCTTTCTGCAAATCTATTCTCTCAACTCCATAGCAACAACTTTTAAATGCAAACAATCCTAGCTTACAGGGTGGGGGTGGTTGGGAGAAATAATGATGACACTATAGATCTTGTCTTCATCATCATTACCCTCAATTAATTTTATTGAGTGTTCACTGGATACACATGGCAGCCTCCAATTATGGAAAGTTAAAAATGAACTACATACAACAGCATGCAATATAGGATGGTAGCTGTGCATTTTAATTAGTGAAATTGAGCCACAGAACGAAATACAGAGCAGTACAAATTATTCAATTGAAAACAGATTCACCTTTAAAATGCTCAAAAGAACACTGTTTACAGAATTATTCAAAAGCCATTTCTCCCATCCTCTGGAATTCTCCGTGCTAACATAATAGTAATAAGCTTACATTTGTATCCATTTGTTATCTGTTTGCTCTTCATAACTACCCCACTTTACAGATTGAAAACTGAGGCTCTGAAGGGTGAAGCAACTTGGCTCAAATCAGCTGGTTAGTAAGTTGCACAGCCAGGAACTAAATGCAGGTTTTCTGTGCTCAGGCACAGAGTCCTCTCCGCTGCTCCACAGTTGTCTTTGGGAGTGAATTGAAGGAGATGAAAAAGAGGATGAGCCGACATTAAAAGGCTGTTTCAATCTGAACTCTGATAAATTACTGAAGTTTCTCCCAGAGGGGAGAAATGAATGTATGCACACGCATACGTTTAATTTTGCTCTGAAACAATTTCAAATTTACAGAATAATTGTAGGACAGTGCAAAAACTTTTTATTTCCTGAACTATTTGAGAGTGAGTTGCCAACATTATGCCCTATCATCCATAAATACAAAGGATATTCTCCTGCACAACCACAATTAATCATCAAAATCAGGAAATTAACATTGATACAATACTACCATCTAATCCTCACATCCCATCAAGTTTTGTCAATTGTGCCAATAACGTCCTTGATAGCAAAATAATCCAGTTCGGGACTCACATGTTGCCTTTAATTGTTATGACTCTCTAGTTTTCTTCAGCCTGGAACAGTTTCTGAGTCTTTCCTAGATTTGTATGAAATTGACAGTGAGACCAGTCATTTTGTAGAGTAATTCTCAATTGTCTGATATTTTCTATCAACTTAGATTTCAATTTGTCCCATTACTGATGATGTTCACTTTGATCATTTGATTAATTCATCCGATGTCTCCATTGTGTTTTGTAAGCATTTTGTGGAGCAATACTTGATATATATATCCCATTCCTCATCAAACTTTTAATTTATCTTTTTACTTATTTACGTTAGTATGGACACACAGTTTCCTGTTTTATTCAATGGGTTATAATCCTTTGCTATCATCATTTGTTTTGATGTTCAAATTGTCCCAGATATGAGCAGTGGGAACACTTTGCCCCTTCAAGCTCACCTTTGTGTCTTTCTGACATACCTGCCTCATGTTTTCAGCACTTCCTTACTTTTTTGGCTCAAAAAGATTTTCCAGGCTGATCCTATACTTCCCCTGCCCCAGCCCTGGAATTAGACATTTCTTCAGGGAGTCCTGGCTCCTTTTAGTGGAAAATGGTATTTAGAAACCAAGATTTGGGCACTAAGTGTGCTCACTGCTACTTGGGTATTGCTGACCCCAGACTCTTGCAGTGGATAGAGCCAGGGGATATATTAGACATAGAGACCCAGAATACACTCTTCATCTCTATTTATTTCTACATCACATATACTGAAAGCCATGGTTCATACCAATGGCTCTAATTCCATTCCAACACAGGATTCATTCTAGTTTCCTTCCTTTACATATTTGTAGCTAATTCTACAAAAGCGAAAAATCTTGCCCATATTTTCTTAATATATTTATTTATTTGTACATAACCAATCTTATATCACTGCCTCTACCTCCCTACCCACCTAGATGCCCTCTCCTTGCCCTGCTCGAATATTGACATCCAGTGCTGGGCCACCACTGTCCACTCCCATCAACAAAAAATGCCCTCCCCAGGGGCTGGCCCCGTGGCGTAGCGGTTAAGTGCGTGCGCTATGCTGCTGGCGACCTGGGTTCAGATCCCAGGCACGCACTGACACATTCCTTGTCAGGCCATGCTGTGGCGGGGTCCCATATAAAGTGGAGGAAGATAGGCACAGATGTTAGCCCAGGGCCAGCCTTCCTCAGCAAAAACAGGGGGATTAGCATGGATATTAGCTCAGGGCAAAAAAAAAAAAAAGCCCTCCCCACCCCAGGCTCCACTACACCAGCGCTGGGCTACTGCTGCTGCACCCTTTCCCATTGTGTATCCCCCTGGATCCCACTAGAGTTCTGACATCCAGTACTGAGCCACTGCCACTACTATCCACATAAACAACCACCTCATCCCTCAGGCTCTGACACCTTCAGCCAGGCTGCTCTCTGGCTCAGATGCCCTTCTTACCCCCTGCTATCCCTTCCACAGGAATGACGCCCTCATTGCTCTACTCAGAGTCTGATAGCCATGCTGGCTCAAAGACTCAAACAAACACCCTCATCATGTAGCTTAGGTTCTGACACTCCATGCTGAGCTGTCATGGTCACTTCCCACCCCTCTAACTGAAGCCTACCATGCCCAACCTTCCCAATGGCTTTTGGACTTGAAGAAAGGATTCTGTTTTTTTAATAAAAGCTCTTTCCTGCTGTTCTAATCTGATGACCCACACCTTAAAAACAATTAAGCCAGTTGTAGGCGGACTCCCTATAATCTGTGTCATAATTCCTTTAACCAGAAGAAATTTAATAAAAAGAGTCCCGGGTACAGGGAAATAGACTCTACTAAAACACATCAGTGATCTCAGTCTCCAACACTCTTAGAGGCAGGGTCCTTACTGGGGTAATGGTCCAGAGGATTGGTGCACCAATTTTACAGGGTAATAATCCTGTTTCCCCTTCTCATAGGTTGTACCTATCCAACCTTTCCTCTATCACAAGACATGCTTTTAAAAGTCAACTAAGTTTTTTTTTTTTTTTAAACGACTGGAGCATAAATATGGAAGAAAAAATATGTGAGTCAATCTCCAATTCTTAGACTGTTAAGAGCCTACATGTTATAGAATTTTATTTACTAAAGACATCTTTCAAACTTGAGTGAAAACCTGAGTGTTTGACTAACGTCAACGGTGAATCAGAAATCGAAGAACAGCCCAAAGGTGGCCTTCTAACTCATTCATCAAAGCGTAAATCACTTCTTTTATGACAGAATTCCCTGATACCTAAGCATCCTTTCAGAGCGAACGTAGCGATGTAGGGAGCCATTTCTATTAGTTATTCCTTCCATTTACTGTGGCCTCTGGAATATATTGGCTGGTGAGTAAATCTAACTTGAAGGAAAGATTTATCCATCATACACACAATTCCACTTTTTCTCCAAAACAGAATTTTCCAAAGTGTGTTCCAGGAAACACTGGTATCTCAGAATGCTGATATTTGTTATGGAATAAAAAAAGGTTTGGGGGCCAAATGAGATGGGAAGCCCTGAGTAACACAGATTTGTCCACTGCAGGACTCCTCAGAGCCTACATTACATGACTCTTTATGAGACAAAAACGAAACACAGCTTTCCCTCTCCCTGACCCCAATATTACTGAACTATGGTACCCTTTTTATGGAGCATTTCTCAGTACTAACGTTCTATAGAAACTATCAAGGGAAAATTTCTCTAACATTTAATAATAATGTATCACCTGAATTAAAAATCTTAGGCCATTTACAAAAAGAGAAAATATTAGAAGTTAGATATATGGACAAATATTCAACTCACCAATAATCAAAGAAATGCAATTAAAACAATGAGACGTTCACTTGTCAAATAAACAATGAATTCAACAAATGATACTGGTGAGAGTGTGGTGACCAAGACACTCTCATACATTGCTAGTAAAGGGTATCTTTTAAGAAAACAGTACAATTCTTTTGGAAAGCAATTTGGCAAATGTTTGACCTTAAAATGGCCCATCTGAAATGCTCTTCTTAAGGAAACAATCCAAAATGAAGAAAATGCTTTATGCTCAAAGATGCTAATGGCTGTATTTATAATAGTGAAAAACATCCCAAATAATAAAAATTCCCAGCAATAGAGAAATGTTTCAGTAAATCAAGGTACATGATATAATGCTGTGCCGCCATGAAAACTATTTACAACATTTTTACTAGCACACAGGAAATGCTTCTGCTATTGTGAAATACGCGGGCTACAAAAGTCTATATACAGCTCCAGTCGACCCCTGACACCCATGGAAGATACTTGAGCACACCCTTCCTTCCAAAATACAGGAATGTATGGCTGAACTTGTTAAGTAATTTTCAAATCCTTAAAAAAATTACTGTGAAAGCATAACAAAGCCTTATTGAAATGGGACTTGGGACAGCTGGGCAGGTCACTTGCCAGTTAAGTGTTTTACTCACAAATCCCAGCTTTGCAGCACGACATGAGCAATTCAAATTTGTGCCTCAGCAAAATCATAATTTAATACATCATGAACTTTCAGGGCTGCTTGGGAATATTAGATATTGCGAATATTAACTCTGTGAATGCTAAGGGTCTATTTATTTTTTATTCAACTCAGAAAGTAAAGGAAGAAAATATCTCCAAATGCTAGCAATGCTTATTTTAGGAAGGAAGGTAGGGGGACTTATTAGGAGTGATTTTCCTTTCCTTCCTCTTTCCTTTTTCTCAGAAAATTCCTTTCTGAATTTCCCAAACTTTCTATAATGGGCATGAATAACTTTTTTGGTAAACGTTTTGCTGAAATATAAGGCATATATTACTTTATAATCATAAAAGTTAAAGTTGACTTGTTAAAAAGAATAAAATAAAAGGCAAATACCTGTCCTTTTGTCGTGTAATCTGCCAAGATGTTAAGTAGCTTATAAAATACTTCGAACCAGGGGAGATAGCTGGGGGAAGAAGAGGAAACATACGAAACATTAATATGCAGGTCGAAAACTTTAACCAGGAGCTAATTCAAGACTGATACATTTCAGTTATTCTCTACATCCTGAAGAGTCTCCTTGTCACAGGCTGTGCTGGAAACACAGACTGGTAAAATGCTAATTATTTATGGGATTTTAAAAAATTGCCTGGGTAAGGCAGAGGATTGAATGTCCATTATAAATTATTCCCATGCCTCAGAGCTAGAAGAGGTTCACAGAGAAGAAATTCAAAGCAGACTCTGCAATCAGGAACCATCTCTGAATAGCCCCCCAGGCTTCTCCCACCACACCTACCCTTTCCAGGAAAGCTTCTATTCACGTTTCTCCTGACTGGGGACACAGCCACACACACGTACATCCCTTCCACTGCTGCCATCTGCAAGGTGTCTCAAAGGCCCCGTGAGCCGAAACCATTCATATTGTTACATCAAACATTCTTCCTACAACGCACCCTCTCTACACTTATTACAGGATGAGCTCTTATTCTCCGTCTCCACTGCCCTCCACTGGGTCCTGACCATCACGCCCCTTAACTCCTGCAACAGCCTGGTCCTGACCTTACACTACCCTCTGTGTGGCTCTTAGAATGATCTTTCTAAAATGCAAATCTAAGTGGCACGTTGGATTCAATTCCTGCAATGGTACCCCCTCACTAGAGGACTTCTTAGGATGGTGTTTGGGGCTCTTCACTGTCAGGTCCATGACTGTCTCTCTGGCTTTCCTCTCTCTACTTCCCCACATACATACTCCTCTTATTGCAGCCTCACTCTGAGAATGTCCAGGCATCCTCAAGCCCGCCTGAGCCTGCATACCCTTGGCCCTTTTCTCCCTCTGACCTTCATGGTCTAGTCTAGCTGATTTCTACTCATCCTCCTAACAGTCCCCCACCCTTTCCCTGTCCCCACCCCTCATGCCCTAATTCCCTCCTCTATGTGCTGCCCTGGTCACGGCATACTCCTGTTATAACATTCCACAAACCACGTGGTACTCAATAGCATGTCAGTCTTCCCACCAGACTGTGCAAACAGAGAGAAGGACCACATCTTCACTTTGTATTCCCAGGGCCAAGCATGGAGCCTGGCATATCCTCAGTGCTAAGTATTGACTGAACAAACAGAACTAAACAAAGACTAACAGTGGGGGCCGGCCCCACGGTGTGGCGGTTAAGTGCACGTGCTCTGCTGCTGGCGGCCCAGGTTCGGATCCCAGGCGCGCACCGACTCACCACTTGTCTGGCCATGCTGAGGCCGCGTCCCACATACAGCAACTAGAAGGATGTGCAACTATGACGTACAACTATCTACTGGGGCTTTGGGGAGAAAAAGGAGGAGGACTGGCAGTAGATGTTAGCTCAGGGCCGGTCTTCCTCAGCAAAAAGAGGAGGATTGACATGGATGTTAGCTCAGGGCTGATCTTCCTCTCAAAAAGAACAAAAAAACAAAGACTAACAGCAAAAGCACATTAGTGTTGGCAGACTATATCCCTATTCCCAAGAAATTCTGTCACTTAATTTAAATGTCTTTGTTCTCCATAAGACACTTTACCAAGGCGACATCAAATATTCCTGTGAGAAGGGTGTCGTACCAAGTGTCTGCCGTCCTGCTCACGTCTGCCCTGCTGAACTAATAGTGTCCGCGGCTGATAGAGCTGGACACGGAGTGGAGCACTGACGCTGTACGACTCCCTCCTGCCAGGCAGAAGGAAATCAGTACCCCGTACAGATTACCAGCTGTACCGCCGAGGGTAATAAATGAAGTGAGAGGCAAGAGAGAGGACAGATAAAGCGCACAGCTCTCTATCATTACGTCTGTCTGAAACCAGCACATGCTACTGTAAAGTTTAAGTAGCTTATCAAAATATACTGATAAGTAACTTAACTTTTCACTTCTATGACAGCATTATCACTTACGTTAATATGTTTCAATCAGCTCTGGCAGCTGCATATGGACTATTACCAAGCAAATGACTGCTGCCACTTTACACAGCATTTACTCTGGCAGAGCCATGTAAACATTCAAGAGGGATTAGGGAGGAGATAAGTTTCTCCCTTCCTATTCTGTTAAACAAAACCTCGGCGGAGTTAAAAGCCATTATAGTTGGAAAAATAAATCCCCTCAGAAGAAAACTCTTGCCCAGATTAGAGGACTCTTAGTAAACAAATTCAACCAAGGATTACAAACATTTTTTTTCCTGAAAGAAAAAATACCACTAGTTAAATCCAGCAACTGAAAGCCAGGAATGGGGGGAAAAAAGCAAGAAGAGAAAACATTTTCTTGTAAGGAAACCGTGGCCTCAAGTAGACGAGAGAAAAGCTGCAGTCGTTTTAGGAATTCTCGATGAAGTGACGTGGGGCAGGCTGGATTCTGACAACTTAGGACTGTGGTATGTACACAGAAGCAGTTCTGACCACCAGGGTCAACTGTCACCATAGCTTGGGCCAGGAACCTCAAGCCTCCGCGTCCTCCCCTACGGTGAGGATGAAGGAAGATGACATGATAGGACCCCCTGGCCCACGGCAGACAGCACCCAGGTTCTCACACTCAGCTTCAATCCCACCAAATCGATTCTTTTTGGCTATGCTAAGCAGAACCCTCAGCCCGGGGAGGTTTTGCAGATACCCTGGAAATCAGTCATTGCTTTCTCCCTTTGGCCTGACCGGACACAACTGTTCCCCACATGTTGTCCCCTGTGCACTGACAGATGAATATCTAGTGATGGCAGTGTTAAGGTCTTGAAACCAAAACCCAGCTGTCTTCTTCTTCAAAGGATCCCTCTTTTCCCCTGTTGGGAGGCCAGGGTTCACAGCTGAACTTTATCCAGTAGCACTTCCTGTACTGCTTCATTAGTGCTGGCACAACAGCTCAGCGCTGCCTGCGAGGCTGCAGGTGAGGATACGGAGACCCTCCACTCCATTTTGTGCTCGTCTGTCATCATGGAGTAAACAGTGCTTCCCCATCTACAGACAGGAAACAAACGCTCCATTGCCCTGTTCCTCCCTGGACACCTAAAGCAGCTCCAAACATTGCTGGGCCTGCTCCACTTGCTACCTTTACACAACTGCTCGACTCCTCAACGCAGAGCATCACTGTGTGGCGGGCTCAGTTCAAGGCTGGGGCCCAAAAGACAAATAACAAAGGGTCCCTGAACTCAAGAAGGTCATGGCCCTCGTGGGAAAGAGAGACCTACACAACAAAGAGTCATAGTTTGGGTGGGGGAGCTGGAATTCTTTCCCAAGTGCTTTATTTAGCTTAGACTTTTGGATCACGCTATAAATGGAGCATTATCATGACCCAGTCACCACAGCCTTGATGAGGAAGAGCCAAAATGGGAGAAGCCTGTTTCCCAGGCACTGGCCTTGATCCAAGCTTCTCTCACCAAATTGTGGCTCAGGTAACTTGTCTCAGACTCTGCCCTCACCCCCTGTCCTGACAGTCAAATGGAGAGGTTTTTGTTTTGTGTAAGGCAATACGAAGTCTTAAACCTGCAAAGCGCTCACGCAGCACCCAAGTATTCCTACACACACGGCCTTAGTGACATGGCCTTCATAGGGCCTTGTAAGATGTGCAGGGCATATAGTCAAACGGCCCACAAACGGCCCACAGTCAAAATCACCTTAAAAAGCCCTTAAATTGCCCTCAATATACAGCAGACATGATTTATGTAGACACTAAGTAGCTGGCCTGAGTTTGGGGAACATATTGAATGAAAACTATCAGTTTAAATCTATCAGCTTGGTGAGCTGCTAACCCTCCAGTTGACTCCCTTTTCTAATCTCGCTCCACTGAATGGACTGTCGGGATAATCATTCCCATTGTTGTGTGTTGGTGTGCGTGTGTGTGTGTGTATGTACATATACATAGAAGTGACCTTGTATAAGTGTGTGTGTGAGACAGGATTCCACTCCAGCGTCATAAGCATTAACATAGAAAACCACTACAAATTTTGAAAAGCTCTCCTACTTCTCTTGCTAATAGTTAAGTTCAAAGCCATTAGAAGAGCCCAAGCAAGGTAGAGGTGTGTGTGTGTGATGGGGGGCAATGGTGATAGAAGCTGACCACGCTGAGGAAGGTGGCCACCTGGAAGAATAGTAGCTGTGAGCAGAATGTCAGAGCTCAAGCACGGAGAAGAGGATATCTTTCCGTAGGGGCAACCTGGCCCAGGGTGTTGGAGCCTGAGTGGGCTGAGGAGGGTTCCCTGGTAAAGGAAAGTCAGGGCTCTAGAAGAGTAAGGAGGGTGTGCACACAGGAGGGAGCCTGGCTTGGAGTGTCAGAACTCAAGAGGGGTAAGGAAGGTATTTAAATAGGGGTAAGGCCTGGCAGCGGGTAAAGAAAGCAGCTATATCAGGAGAAAGAGGTTGACTAGACTGGTGTTGGAACCTAAGAGGAGTAAAAAGAGCATCTGGAAAGCAGTCTGGTGTGGGATGTCAGAGCCTAAGTGGTAGGAGGGCTTCCATGAAGGGTGGCCAGGCAGAGTTCACGCAGTTGAGAAGGATGTCTATGGTAGGAGATGGTGGCAGTGGTAGCCCTGCCTAAACGTCAGAGCCCAAATGAGGTGAGGAGGGCAGCCATGGAGGAAGGGGGCTACAGCACAGGGAGACTGGTTACATACAGGAGAACAGATCAAGAACGATCAAGCAAGTAAATATATAAAGGGAACCAAGCATATTACTATCAGAGAAGAGAGTTACAGATATGGATAGAGAGAAAACAAGAATGAACTCTATGGTGTCAAATTGGAATTAGATGTAACTGTGTGAAATGATAGAGACAGATAGATAAAAAACAAAAATACAAATGTATGTACATACATATGTGTGTATATTTATACATATATTATACATATATTCTCCAGCTCTAGTCACTGAGGGGGCCTGGAAGCAGGGACACCCCAATAATAATGAGCACACTTAGCGCCCAGACCTTGGTTTCTAAGTACCATTCTCCACTAAAAGGAACCAGGGCTCC